TAGTACAGGTAAAGTAAAAAAGTGTTGTCACCTTCAGCCTGCTTTCCCCTTCAGTCCTTCTGTCTTCTCAGTTTGCTGGATATCCCGTCAGATCTTCACCTATGCATTAAGGGCATATATAGTATAAAGAAATGTGTGCCTATGTGTTTAATACACAATTTTTTTTAATACACTGTAAACACACGTAGGTATTCTGCATTTTGTTTTTACACTTAACAGTGTGTCTTCAGAGCTTTCTATCTCACTCACTTGAGCTACTGTGCACAGTGTGGCTGCAGTTTGTCTCATACAACTATCTTTGTTGCTGGACAGTTATTTTCAATATTTTAATTGTTTCTGCATTGCAACTTTTCTTTTTAGGGTTTCAAAATCTGAACACAATTGGGAGGTTGTGAAGTTGTTTTTTGTTTGTTTTGCTGTTGTTTTTACAGCTTGTATTGCAGAAAGTAGAAATAATGATTTTCTGTAATAAATAGGTAGGCATTTTATTTCATTTCATTGTTAAAAATATGTGGTCTTTTAAAAAGGACATCCTTCATGGGTAGATATTATTATTTGAAATTTCTATATAATATTTAACACTTCTAGATATTTGAATTGCATAAATTCCCACTGAATAATGAGGCAAGAAAATTTATATGCTGCTTTAATGTGATAAAAACAAAACAATATACTGAAGTAAATATAAAAAAAGGAAAATATCATTTCCTCTCTGATTCTAAAGTTAATACCTACATAGAAAAGACAAAAACTTTGGAAAAGAAAATATAAATCATTCCCAAATTTTACCCCTAGTAGGCATTATTCACCTTTAGCATTTTGGTGACTGTTCTTCCAGGTGTGTGTGTGTGTATGTGTATATTTCTATATCAAATCTAATCAGATACAAATTTATGAGTATGCATTATTGTGTGTGTATACAGTGCAGACATCTTTCTCTCAACATGTTTTTCACATGTGTGGAATGTATATATACATACACGCAGATATTTGTATGTAATTGTATAAGTGGATTATATTCTACATGTTATTCTACAGTTTTTTCACTCAGCAGTGGGTCATAAAGATATTTTCATGCCATTGAATACAGATATAATCAGCCTTTTAATGTCTGTGTACCATGTCTCTCTGTAGATATACCTGATTGATTCTGATCAGTTACATGGCAGCAGTGGGTCTCAAATGGGCTTTGGTTCTAGGGAGTACTCTGGGCCAGAGACCCTGTGTAGCCTCCTAGTGGGGGCACTAAGGAGTGGTTGAGAGTTAAATGGCTTTTCTTGGCAGATGTGGTTTTCTTTGGTGACTCTTAGTGTCAGTAAGGAGAGAGCTTCCAACAATAGGGCTAAAGGAGTAAGTTCCTTTATGGAGTGTGGGGCTTGAGGTGTGAGACGACAGGATTGGCCAAGGCTTTAAAATGAAAGGGAATTACGCATGTTGAGATGGGATTGACAGAGAAGATAATGGAAACAGTTGAGGGCATCTGGTTCAGGTCAGCAGAGCAAAGCAGAAAATAGAGGAGAGACATATCAGTTGTGGAAAGGAAGGGACTTCTTGCAGAGCTGGCTACTGATAGCCTTGCCCTCATGGGTTTGGCATTCATTAGTAGACACTGTCTGAAATGGCACTTGCCATTTGGAACTTAAAAATAAACATGATATTTGTTCTTTGATCTCACAACTTAGAAAAAGTGAAATGCAGGTGGCTAGGAGGCTACTATTTAGTTTTCTTACTTCCTTTTTAAGAAAAAAAGGCATTCTATTTGTAATTTTTCTTCTACTTCCTTATTCCTTACAGAACACTCTCAGGCACTTGGCTATCAGCCAGTCAGTTTTTTAAAAAACTTATATGTTTTTGTTTAAAGAGTGTGTGGTCTATCCTTTACTAGAGTATCGTTCTTTCTTTCTTCCCCCCCTTTATTTTTAAGAATCACTGACTGGAAAAACTGCCAAGGCATTATTACTGTAGAGTGACCCAAATTAACAAGCTCTCACGGTATAGGAAAGCACCCTGCATGCCAAAATATGAGTCAGAAAACCTGGTCCAATTTTACCCTGCTAAGTGATTTAATCTTTGGAGCAAGGCTTTATCCAATATATCTGTTTGTGGAGTGGTGTAGAAAAAGAATATGTTTGGGGGGTGCTTATTAATAATTTATTATATAGCACATCAAAAGTAGAGTTGAGCTAGTATCACCACATGATCTGCATTTTTACTCTGCTTTGTTAGGGGCTGTACCAGAATTGTTTTCTCTTCTCGCTGTTATACACACACACATACGCTCACTCTTTGTGATAGGCTTATATACTACATTTAAAGTATGAAGTATGCCTTAAAATAACATGGCATTCATTAAGTTAATAAACGTATTGAATGAAGGCACTCTCATAGATATTGGTTATATGAAGATAAATAACACATGGTCCCCACCCTTAAAGAAATTATTGTTTAGACGAGTGAGACAGAAGTTTATGCTAGAAGAATATGGAAATTATTTAAGATAACAGGCAAAATAGAAGTAGTCAGTTCTACTATGGGGTTGGGATGCCTGAAAAAGCTTAGCAGGTGATTTTTGAGAGAGAGTTGTACACTACATAGAGGGGGAAGAGGTGGGGAATGGGGGTAGGTGATGCTCAATTCAGTCCAGAGTTGTTACCAGAGCCATAGAGACCTGAGACATGATGACACTGCAAATAGCTTCATATGGCTAATATGAAGGGTATGTATGGAGGAGTGGAAGGAGATGATACTGCAGAGGTAGTTAGGGGAGTTTGAATGTTATCTAGAAGATTTTTAAATGGCTAATTAATATTTATTAATTAAAATCAGGGAAAGATTGTCTGGCAAGTCAGAGGAGACAATATTCCAAGCAGAGAGATCAGTTTACAGCTGTTAAAGCAATGTAGATGGAAGTGCTATGGGCTCAGAATCTCAAACTATGTGATTCAAAATCAAAATGAAATTGAGGAAGATAAAGGTGTAGAAACAGTAAGACATGTGACTGATTTTGTGTGTGAGTTATATGAGAGGGAGGAGTTAGGATGATTTCCAGATTAGTCTGTCTTGGGGGATTTTTAGAAGATGCCAGTGGCCATTTGAGGAGAAGCTGGTTTAAGAAGGAATGATAGGGCTTCCCTGGTGGTGCAGTGGTTAAGAATCCGCCTGCCAATGCAGGGGACATGGGTTCGAGCCCTGGTCCGGGAAGATCCCACATGCCGTGGAGCAATTAAGCCCGTGCATCACAACTGCTGAGCCTGCGCTCTAGAGCCTGCGTGCCACAACGACTGAGCCTGCGCGCCACAACCAATGAAGCCCACGTGCCTAGCCCATGCTCTGCAACAAGAGAAGCCACCGCATTGAGAAGCCGGTGCACCGCAACGAAGAGTAACCCCCACTCGCTGCAACTAGAGAAAGCCTGTGTGCAGCAATGAAGACCCAACGCACCCAAATACAGATTTAAGTATTTGATTAAAATTAAGGAATACTTAAAAGATACAGATAAATATAATTAGTTAACCAACTTGTGTACCCGCTATGCAGTTTATTTAACTTTTTATTTTTACATAATTATCGACTCAGGAAGTTACAAAAACGGTACAGAGAGGTCCTTCTGTATAGCCTTCACTCAACCTCCTCCAGTCACTTGTTCAGTTTAACAAATGTCCTGGACTGGTACAAATGCTAATGTTTTGGGATATGTTATGGAACTGTGCAGGTAGTGTGAATATGGATTCTGTACTCCTGTGTGGTGCAAGCCTGGAGTTTTGATTCTCATAAGAGCCTCTCTCCTTCCACCTGGGGCAGGGCAGATAGCACCCTTTCTTGCTGCTTCTCAGGACGCATGGGTGGAGCTTTTCCAGCTCCTTTTCACATATTGAGGAGCCCTTTTGAGGATCTTGGCTCAAAACAGGTTTTACTTTTAGGTCCCCCCTGAAATAGGCTCAAAATCAGGTCTTCTATCTCTTTGGGCCAATATCTCCCTAGATTGCCTTGGTGTCAGCTGGAGCTTACATCTTTGAGTTTCTTCCTTTCCGGCACCTGGGAATTCCCCCTCCCTTCCCCTTTTTTGAGTTCAGTTATATATTTTTATAATTTTTCATGTTGATCTTGCATTTCAGTGAGTGCATTTGGGCACGTGGATGTATTAGTTCAGTCTGCCTTGTTCCTTGAATCAGAAGTCTAATAAACTATTTCTTAATTTCTTATTTCTTAATTTTATGCTCTACATTGTCCATAAAAAGGATTTGAGGTTGGATTATGTTATTCTCGTTAAAAATATTATTTATTTTTAAAATGGATAATACATGCATGTGGTAGTCTACATGTGTCCCTTTGTCCTGTTCCCACCCAGTTTGCCTTCACAGGTATAACCAGTTACCAGTCTCATATATCCTAGAGATAGACCATGTACTAGTTTATTCTTTAACAGCAGCTTTACTGTTTACAATTTAATCTTGTAACGAATATTCAGGAGTTTTCCATCTGTTTGACCAGTAACAATTCTATTTTCTTCTTTCCTGAGAGCTTTTGAAAGAGAATGTTATACTAGTTATATGTTACGTGTATGTTTATATACATGTGCATGGATTATCTGTGTTTTAACTTTGGTTCATTTCAGAAATCCCTTGAAATGTGACAAAATGACAAAATAATGTAGACTGTTGATTCAAATGTTTTAAGTCACTACATGGAATATTAAAATAATGGAACAGTAGCCTTAATTTTTGGGAGATAGTAGAAATGATATTTTAAGATGTTGGAGTCTTATGAAACACAATGAGGATATCCTTAAAAATTGTCCTAATTACTAACCAGTACATGCTATTGTTTGCATATGCGCAAATAATCGCCTATAGAAATGATGGGTCTGTCAAAGATGAAGCCCTCTCTTAGGTTCCTCAGCCACAATATATACCATTGATTGCCTAACTGCAGCTTGGTGAAATTCAGTGACATGGAAGCAAGAAATGGAAGCCTATGACCTGATATGTTTTCTTCCTTAGATCAACCTCTCTACTTCTCCTACACCTGCACAGTTAATAAGCCGTTCCCAGGCTTCCAGTTCTACCAGTGGCAGTATTACCCAACAGACTATGTTACTAGGGAGTACCTCCCCTACCCTAACGGCAAGCCAAGCTCAAATGTATCTCCGAGCTCAAATGGTAAGATATGAGCTACCAGATTTTTTCAGTGTTTAAAGACTTGAGAGAGATCAAAATGTTTCTTGATTTGATGCAATAGGAGGCATTTTTAATATTTAAGAAATGTTTAACAAAATTTTTGTGTATGTGCCTAGCTCTTATACATTTATGTCATGAAAAATTCTACCTTTAATTGGTAGGCCTTCTTGGTGAATCAAACAGTAATTAGCAGCATTAGGGAGCTAACAGATTCTGTAACATAGGAGTGATTAATTTTTAATATCAAATTTCTTTGATTTCAAACCCTTTTTCATATTTTAACATTTCTGAAACTGAGATGCATTTTATAATTGATGGCATCTTACGGTTATAGTTGGTGCTTGTAGTGATACATAAAATCACCATATATCTTTGACATCTTAGATTTGATGAAATTGTTAGAAACATAAAAAACTTGGTTGTTAACTATAAATTAGAATTTATATTGTGGGATCTTCTGAAATCTGGATTGGAGTTCGTGATAATTTACCAGATGAGTCTTAGCTTTGGTTATTCCCGTCTTAAAATCTGCAAGGCGATTTGTGTTCCTATGCTCACTTTGATCTTTTGTTAATACAGGAATGTTAATTTGGCTATTGTGTCATCTACTGATTTCCTAATTTACTTGTTGAGCCTTCTTTAAGGAATGTAAAAATTGGTTGACATTTACTTTATTTGATGTCTTTACAGGTAGCTAGAGAAGAACTTTGTCCCTGATATGTATTTATTTATATTTTTTTTATCCAGTGAACTGAATATATATCTGTATCCCCAGTCCTACACTAAAATTGCAAAGAAGGTTTCCATCATATTTCTAACAGGAAACAATGATATGACCCTCTTTTTACTTACAGACTATTCAATAGACATTACCATATTTCTGGGGTTTTTTCCCCATAAGATCTTATTTAATCAATAATACGCTTCAGAATTAGGGAGAACCATTTAAAATGGTTGCTACTGGACCGTTTTTGACTTCTAAAACTGGCAGTTTCATATGGTTCATGCTAGATAGAACATCTTTTTAGGTATAGTGCTTTTAGCTGTTTGTACTGGAAATTACCTTCTTGTGAAAGTTATACTTGTTATTTAATTCACTTAAATTTAGTTTGTAAAGAATTGAAGTTTAAATGATCCTTTAATTGGTAATTTTAATTTAAACAGAAATGGCTTTTGAGGAACTGTATAACTTGATGCACTTTTGAGATAGAGTATTCACAGGTTCTTTGAAACAACTGTCATAATTTACTAAATTGGATTGGATAATCTCTGAGTGGATTGTATTGCCTTTTTTAATTAATGGCATTCTGTTTCAGTATTGAAAAAAAAGTATTTGAAAAGAGATGGTGATAATTAAATAAATCAAGTATGTCTTTCTTTTTCTTTTCTTTTTTTTTTTGATGTGAAGTTTTTTTGCAGGCTGCTTTGTTGTTGACTTTTAACATGTTGTGGCATTTACATTTAGAATGAATATTTCTTTACAAATAGTTTTAAAATCAAGAGCAGCCTAGGTTTGTACTACACAGATCCTGTGTAGCTGAGTGAAATATTGTAACGTAGCATGTGGCATAGTTATCCTTTGGGGTAAAGAGGACTGAAAAGACTTTTTGGTGTTTCTTTTCATGTTTCTCACTGAAATTTAGTTTGCATTCAAGAGCAGTGACTATGGTTGCCTATTCTAACTTCCATTTTAGGAATCCTGCCACAATAGTTTTGAGCTGGGAAAAGTTTAAGTATAATAGCTTATTTGGGGAAAAATTTGGTATGAGGATTTCATATTGCCAAAATACATTTTCTTTTTTGAGCACTGATTTATTTTCTACTCATCAGAATCATGAGCTGTTTCAAAAATGTTTCTGGTTTTTTTTTTCCTTTTGAGTTCTCTATTATCAAAAAGTTCTCCTTGTCATGTAAGACCTTTTGCTTAGGAGACAATCCTAAACTGCATTGTCTTTCTGTCACAAATTTCAGTCTCTCTTGCCTGCTATACATTGTGTGTGGGACATGTTCTTTTGTCTTAGGGTATTTTTTTGGTTTTTCTGTCTGTACAGCTGATTTTCACACCCGCTACCACTGTGGCTGCTGTACAGTCTGACATTCCTGTTGTCTCGTCGTCATCGTCATCTTCCTGTCAGTCTGCAGCTACTCAGGTGAGCTTGTCTAGCTTCATAATGTGGTACTTAAGGTCTGGGTCTTCAGGTTAAAGGTAAACATACATTTGTGTTTAAGTTACTGATAGTTTCAGTGCTCTTTGTCACACATTTCAGATCAACATTTAATCCAGTGAGAACTTCAAGAAAATTTTTTGGTTTTATAGAAATTGTAATGCCATTAAACAGGGATATTTAGGTTATTTGACATTAGTGAAAGTTAATACATTTTGCTATGACATTGTATGTTTAGTTTTATTGTAAAGCAGATTTATTATGTGAGATGTATTCTTTTCTTTAGATTCCTTTGTAAGCAGTTAGGTAATAACTGTGTCAAGATGGCTTTTAAATTTAAAAATGAGCTGGATAAACTTTAAACTTAAAAAATTGAGCAGAATGTTACTCAGTTTTTTGTTTATACTTTGTTTGGTACTATGGAAAAAATGAACTTTAACTTTCTCCTTACACCATTCACAAAAATAAACCAGAAGTAATGTAGACCTAAAGACAAAAGACAAAACTGTGAAACCTCTAGAAGAAAACATAGGGGATATCTCTACAACTCCAGGGTAGGCAAAGCTTTCTCAGGACACAAAAAGCATTAACTGTAAAAGAAAATAATGATAAATTGGACTTTATCAAAATTTAAAAACTGTTCTTCAAAAGACATTGCTACAAAAACAAAGAGGCAAAGCCACAGACTGAGGGAAAATGTTCACAATACATATATCTGACAAAGGACTTGTATTCAGAATATATAAAGTGGGTTTACAACTCAATAATAAGATCATGAACAGTTCAGTTAAAAATGGGCAGAAATTTGAACACTTCACAAAAGATATGCGAAAGGCCAAGAAGCACATGAAAAAATGCTCAACATGATTAATCTTCCTAGAAATATAAATCAGAACCACAGTGAATATCACTACACACTCACTAGAATGTCTGAAATGAAGGAGACTGAAAATGCCACATTTTGGCGAGAATGTGGAGGAACCATACTATCATGTGTGGCTGGTGAAAGTGTAAAAGAGTACAACCACTTTGAAAAACAGTTTTCTTATAAAGTTAAACAGTTTTCTTATATGCTTAACATGTTACCCAGCAATTCCACTTCTAGCTGTTTACCCTGAGAGATTTGAAAACATATTTCCACATGAAGATGTTTAAATGAATGTTTGTAGCAGCTCTATTCAGAATAGCCCCAAACTGGAAGTAACCACTGTCTTTTAACTGGTGAATGGATAAACATATTGTGGAATATTACTCAGAAATAAAAAGGAACAAACTACTGGTACATCTCAGAAACATTATAATTAGTAAATGATGCCAGACATCACAGAGTGCAGTACTCTGTGACTCTATTTATATGAAATTTCTGAACAGGCAGAACTAATCTATAGTGAAAAAAAATGGATTTGTGCTACCTGGGGCAGAAGGTGGGGGCGGTTGACTGGGAAGGGGTATGAGTGATGGAAATGTTCTATATCTTGATTGGGGTGGCGGTAACATGGTATATACATAATGTCAAAACTTATCGAACTGGTTCATTCATTTTATTGTATGTAAGTCACACCTCAGTAAAGTTAATAAAAATGAATGAAATTGAGTAAATTTTAAATTAAAACAGTTGAGTAGACTTTTATATTGTATGATACCATTTTGATATTTTTCCATAGATAATGTTTTGGATTGCATATGGCAGAAATTGGTATATCTCAAGGTCATCCTTGGCTTCGAATTTTTAATTTAATAATCTCAGTCATCTGGTAAAAAGTAAAAAATGAGATAGCAATAATAATTCTTTGGTATTTTTCATAGAATCTCTATTTTATTTAATAACAAAGTCCAATTTTCATATATCAGCATATAAAGATGGTGATCAGTTAAACTCCGGTTTCTCATAATGTGCTCTGTGACCCTATAGTTCCTTAACTTATTTGGACTTCAGTTTCCATATTTACAAAATGAGACTTTTGTTAACTTTAAGGTTTTTTCAGCTCTAAACTTTAAATGTCTCTTTGTGGAATGAATTTGTTGAAGATAATTATCTTCCTGTTTGGTTTGGTTTGGTTTGGTTTGGTTTGGTTTGGTTTGGTTTTATAAAACCTGTCAACTTCCAGAATGGTAAAGTGGCATGGAGCTAGGCGTGTGGTTGCCATTGAAATTACAGGCATGAAGTCCTGCATGGGCTTAAGTTCAACTCCCACTGCAGTCATTTATTAGTTGTATGACTTTAGATAAGTTACCAAACATCTCTAATAGTCATACATACTTGCAGGGTAAGTTGAAGAGTGAGTAATACATGTTTAGTGTCTAGAATATTGTAGGTACTCATTAGTACTTTTTCTGCAAAGGGGAGAACAGGAAGACCTGGGTTTATATTCTGACTTCAGCAACAGTTGCTTTGTCACTTGCCAGTTGATTGATTTTGGATAGGTCATAGTATAGCATGGTGTTTATAAGTTTGGACTCTGGAGCCAGATTCTCTGGATTCAAATACATGTTCTACCACCTTCTCATTGTATATCCTTAAACCTCAGTTTCAACAATATAAAATAAAATAAATGTAATGCTTTGTAGGGTTGTAATGAGGATTAAATAGGTTAATAACTGAAAAACAGAACAGTGTCTGTTACCTAGTGAGCACTCACTAAATGTTAGCTGTTATTACTTATGCTAAGCCTCAGTTTCTTCACTGTGAACTGGAAGTAATAGCTCAGAGTTGTTATAAGGAATAAATGAGACAGTAATCATAAATAAAGCACTCAGCATAGTGCCTGGCACATAAGATATCACATGCTACTAATTCCTGTTTTTGTTATGCACTGTCTAAAGATGAGTCATGAATTTGGTTCTTAGCTTTCATGTAGCTAATAGTGAAGAGAGAAACACAACCATTTAAAGGATTTTCAGTTTCCGAGGTAAAATAAACCAGTTATTAGGAAAATACAACTAACAAACTCTCTAGAGCACAGTCTGTTTTGTGGGTTCTCATAGTCAAAGTAATTTACAGAATTAGCTCTTTGGGGTCCAGTTTGATGTGTATAGATATGTGGCTTTCTGATAATCTGACTCAATTCAAGGATAGACTGAGGAACTAGAGGGATGGATTGACCTTTAGGAACTTCTCTACTAATGCTTTTCTTTGCTGTGCTTTAGAAGTGGCAGTGAATGAGGCTGACAGTGGTAGGTGATGCTAATATTTTGAATATTCCAGTGGTAACTTTCCTCAAGTTCAGGGCTGTTAGTTTTGAAAAATTTGGGCTCCACTTTGTTAATTTTTAAACATACATTTGCAGTTTTTAAAACATTTAATTTGTTTGTAATTGAGAAATACCAAATTTGAAGTGTTATTTTAATACTCTTTAACTGACAAAAGTCAGTATAACAGTTAATTTTTCCTCAGTACTAAAATTTATAGCATACTGTAAAAAAATGAGAAATTTGGAATATCTTACCCTTACCATTTTAAATGCTCCATCTCTTCTCCTTATCATGAAAAAAAAAATGTGACTTTCAGAAAGATATCATAAGACTAAAAGTATGTTATAGAAAAGTAAGAAATCTTACCAAGGCACTCTGGGCAATTCTGTAAGAATTGAGGAGAAAACAGCCTTTTAGATTTAAAAGCTAGAAACAGTTCTACTGCTGGCAGTGTGACATGAACTCTTAATTTCTTTATGTATGAAGAAGAGATCTTACGATAATTCACACATTATTTGTTAGATCCAAATTAAAAAACTGAAGTGAGGGTATTTGGATAATCCACTATAAAAATGTAAGGTGTGAAATTAGCAAAAATACTTTGTGGGAAATCTAGACTTTTTCAAAAGTCAGAAAGTTTCCCCAAACTGATCACAGGAAAAGTTCAGATGAAATTAAAGTTGGGAATTAGATGCCATAATATTCTTTATCTTAGAAAGGGTGGGTTCTTTTTAAAAGTGAAGTTCTGTCAAGGAAATCTGAATATATGATCTATTAACAGCTCAGTTAGCTCTGTATATGCTTTAGGAGTATAGTTTACATGTTTGAAATTTATTGTAAATATTAAAGCAAGATGACCATAGATAGTAAAGCCATATTCTAAAATTTATCTGTTCATATAAATAACACATAGTATATAATATGCACATGCATACATTTTCTTTCAGAATTCCAGAAAACAAAAGGAAAATTAGAAGAAAAATATATTATTCTATAGAAATGGACTGCTACAGCTTAAGGGTTCACTGTGTCAGATCTTCATTTACTTTGAAAATGCTTTTCCTTTGAAGGAAAGCTTTTGGTTTTCAGGTTATAGTTCAGACCTTGATTACATCATTCTGTGGTCCACCTTATACATTATTTATGGCAGATGTTAAATTTCTTGCTGTTTTTCCTTTGCTTCCTGAGAGATTTTAATATTCCTCTGCTAGACATTTGTTGAGATTTCTTTTGGTAAAACATGAACAGATTTTAATGTTAGCTTAAGAAAACCATAAATAAAACAAGATACTTAACAACAACAAGAGCAACAAAATCCATGCAATACATTTTTCAGAATCAGATTATAGGAGAATACCTTAGACTTGTGTAGTTTCTGTTACGTCTGCAGCCGGAATTGCGGGGAGTACAAAAATGAATGTCAGAGATGAGAGCCTGCCAGTCAGAGTCTCAGTATTTCACAGACACAGATATTAGTAATTCTAAACCAAGCTAGATGTTTGTCATTGGTATAGGCCACTATGATCCAAATTCTATGGGAAAGGCATAGAGGGGAGGATAAATTATTTCTAACCAGGTACTTCGAGAGGTTTCTTTGGGAGAATGGGTAGGAATTTTAATGGTCTTGAGCACTGTGTTGGGCTTCAAGAGACAGCGTTGAGGAAAGAGGAATTTGAGCAAGGGCTCTAAATGAAGGCAGTGCAAGGTATGTTTGGAGCAGAACAGTTTGGCTAGAGTATGAGGATTGTGAAATAAATAGTGGAAAAGGGGGCTCAAAGCAGTTTGGGCCCAGACTGTGGAGGGCTTTGAGTGGCAAGCTGAGAAATCTGGATTTTAGCATATTTTATTTTTGCATTAAATTTCAGTAATACAGCAGTAATTAGTCCATTTACAGTGCTGTGAAATATTTGACAAAAATCAGAGAAGATGCTCCATATGATCTCACTTAGAAAATTCTTTCAGTAGCTTAGAATAGAACTGATTAAAACTTCAACTGCCCTGAAGTAAACATTTATTTAGCATCTGCTGTTGGCTGAACACTGCATTGGCACTTGGAAAGAGAAGGTAAAGAGCATCAGTTAATGATACAGTTGTAAAGACAGAACACACATGAAACTGAAGAACATTCATAAAGCAGCAATATATTTGTTACTTTAGAATCTGTTTTACTTCAGTTTCCCTCCCAGGGCCAGTGCTAGCATAAATGTATTAGGTGCATTCATTTCTGAGGCAAAAGGTTAGGAAGCTATTGGAGGGGCATTTTTGCCTTGCTGTTTGAAAATGTTATAGACCTCAGGTGAGAGTAATTGGGATAATCCTTGCCACCATCCAGACTGGCAGTGTGTTTAGAATAACCCTGGTGTAGATAGGAGTCATCACGTAAACCATTTCAAGGCCATGCACGATGTCTTTAGTTCATGGGATCTAGTTCTCAAAGGCAAATGAGTGTTTCATAACCACCACAACAAAATCTCACTAACTCTTTAAAGTTAGTTAATAGGAAATGCTTTTCATAATTATCACAATGGGGTAGGTGATTTCATGAATTTGTCTTCTTACTTAGAAGATTAATGTTCCCTTATAATCTCTATAGACCTATTAACTTGCTTTTTTTGTTATCTTTCTGATCTTTACTAAGATAGCAATATTATAGCCACACTGTCCTAATTGTGTGTAGTAATTTCTCACAAGTTTATGAGGGACTTGTAGCCTTAAAATGTTTCACAGTCCTGTCATGGAGAACTCAGTGAAGTAGAAGGAATTGCTCATTCTTCCCTCCACACCCTGGGCTCTCCCACCTCTGCAGCTTTGCTCAAGTTTTCCTCTTTGCCTGGAATGCTCTTCCTCTTTCTCCTTCCTTTTGACTGTCTCTGACCTGGTAACTTTAAAATGCAGTATGTTGCAGAGTAATTTCCTCATATTGATAGTTCATTTGCTATATATATATATATATATATATATATATTCTATTTTCATTTAGTTCTTAATGATTCTTTAATGTCTTTTTTAAAAAATTGCCACTTAATGTTTAAGATATGATTACTTAGAATAATAGCTCCCCTTTCCTTCAGGGTTAATTAGTTGTTTCAAGTGCTTGTAGCTTTATGCATAATATAAAAAGCATAATATAAATGTGCTGTCATTGTTGTTATAATGGTAATGAGTACCACATCAATTAATACCATCTGTTTCATCCTTATTTTTTGTTATGTGGTTCTTAGGTTCAGAATTTAACATTACGCAGCCAGAAGTTGGGTGTATTATCTAGCTCACAAAATGGTCCGCCAAAAAGTACTAGTCAAACTCAGTCATTGACAATTTGTCATAACAAAACAACAGTGACCAGTTCTAAAATCAGCCAACGAGATCCTTCTCCAGAAAGTAATAAGAAAGGAGAAAGTCCAAGTCTGGAATCACGAAGCACAGCTGTCACCCGGACATCAAGTATTCACCAGTTAATAGCACCAGGTGGGATAAAGCTTTTGTTGAAAATAGTTGCATTATTCATTTTCTTAGCAGGCAGAGCAAAACAAAAGATGTCCATTACTTGAACGAGAATACTTTTAAAACATTTTAAAATGTGAATTTTATAAGTTAACAAAAGAACAGTAGTGTAGGTTGAAAAAAGAGAAATGAAAAGAGCCCAACAGCTAAAACAAATTATAATAATAAAATAGATTTTTTGGGTCAGTTGACATTTGATTAACATCTTCATCATGTGCTGGTCTGCTGTTATGTCGATAAAACCTGTTAGCTTTAAAATAATTTGCCTGTGGTTTGTTTAATGTGCTTTAGTGGAACAAAATTAAAAGCTTTTTAAAAAAAGCAAGTATGTATTTTTCTTTAACATTGTCATTAGTGGAAGGAATTTATCAGTTTCCAAAAATAAGGATTATGCATAATTATTTTCCTCACCATGTTGCTTTTTTTCCATCTTTGATTTCATCTCTGAGAGGCAAATGTCAGGGAATCAACTAAGTTGTTTTCATTTTCATCAGCCTTTGAATCCCGTGTGTGCTCCCTCTGCCATCTACAGATAATGTTGCTTCATGGTTCTCATGCTGGAACTTCTGGGGCCGTGCAGACTGAGTTTCCTTACCGTGTCTTCTGTTCATCTCAGAATTTCTCAGTGTTGAGCTTTCTTCACTTCTAACAGGATAAGGAATTATCTGCTTTCTTCTTTAAAGTTAGCACTATTTCCTTGTGTCATTGATTGCATCTTTTTTACTGGCTCCTGACCTTCTTTCATAGTTATTATAGCATCTTTTTTCCCCTCATGCTGGATCCTTTCTTTTGCTTCTTAAGCATATTTAGATCTCTCCTATTCTTAATATATCTACATATGGTTTTTCTTTTTGTTTTTTGTTTGTTTGTTTGTTTGTTTTCGGTATGCGGGCCTCTCACTGTTGTGGCCTCTCCCATTGCGGAGCACAGGCCCCGGACGCGCAGGCTCAGCGGCCATGGCTCATGGGCCCAGCCGCTCCGCGGCATGTGGGATCTTCCCGGACCGGGGCTGGACGCTCAGCCACTGCGCCACCAGGGAAGCCCTCTACATATGTTTTTATACCAGTTTAACTATTTATTGAAAGTGTGTGTGTGTGTGTGTGTATGTGTGTGTGTGATGCACTGGGCTAGATACCTCACATATGTTACATTAAAAAAAAAAAAATCTTCCTTTGATCCAGCCTCATCAGGTAAGCATCTTCTTTCTATCCTTTTATAATTATGCATTACTTTCTTTTCTTTTTTTTGCATTACTTTTTTTTTTTTTTTTTTTTTTTTTTTTTTTTTTTTGGCCTCTCACTGTTGTGGCCTCTCCCATTTGCGGAGCACAGGCTCCGGACGCTTTTTCTTTTTTTCTTTTTTTTGCGGTACGCGGACCTCTCACTTTTGTGGCCTCTCCCATTGCGGAGCACAGGCTCTGGACGTGCAGGCTCAGCAGCCATGGCCCACGGGCCCAGCCGCTCCGTGGCATGTGGGATCCTCCCGGACCGGGGCACGAACCCGTATCCCCTGCATCGGCAGGCGGACTCTCAACCACTGTGCCACCTGGGAAGCCCTGCATTACTTTTTAAAGATTCATTTTACACTGCTGAAGGTTGCCTTTTCTCTTTTTATGTTTCTTCTTTGCTGATATTGCCAACATTCTCTGTATCACGCAATCTCAAGATCTTGGAATTATTTGATTCCCCTAGTTAGAAATCTCTCCTTCTGAACTTGTATAGCATTTAAAAAATATATATTTATTTAATTGTCTGCACTGGGTCTTAGTTGCAGCATGCGGGGATCTTTTAGTTGCAGCATGTGGGATCTTTAGGTGCGGCATGTGAACTCTTGGTTGTGTCATGTGGGATCTAGTTCCCTGACCAGGGATCAAACCTGGGCCCCCTGCATTGGGAGTGCGGAGTCTTAGCCACTGGACCACCAGGGAAGTCCCTTGTATAGCTGGGCCCCCTTTGGGAGTGCGGAGTCTTAGCCACTGGACCACCAGGGAAGTCCCTTGTATAGCATTTTTATATTTCTTTGTGGTACTTTTTCTTTTATAGTTATTTATATACTTATTGATCTTAGCTTTTCTACTAGACAGTAAGTAAGCTCTTTGAGGGTAGGGAACTAATATCAAGCACCTAAGTGTCTGGTACTTTACATTTATTAAATCTTTTAATCCTTTTTCAGATTAACCTTTTCATTCTTTTATCTTGACAGCACCAAGTTATGCCTTATATGTACTTATATCTATAATAGGTGGACAGTAGTAAATATTTGTTGGATTAATAGTTGATTATTTTTTCCATTTGGGTTTTGGAAGTTATAGCACAGTTTTTTCCATTTGTACTAACTAGGTATCACTGCTTAGAATTCTTCAGTCTGAATCTTAGGTAAGTGAAGGGTTTGTTAGAATGTATAAATAATAAATCCATTCATAGTATGGTTAGATGTGAATACTTTTTTATAAACATCTGTGTGCAAGGTCCTGCTATCTGTATGGCATGATAACAGGATTTTTGTACTGTATTGTCCAGAGTATTCTTAGCCTCAAACCAGCCTCTGGCCAGTGTTTTGTTTTGTTTTGTTTTCTGTTTGGCTGCACTCCATGGCTTGTGGGATCTTAGTTACCTAACCAGAGGTTGAACCCATGCCCTCGGCAGTGAAAGCGCAGAGTCCTAACCACTGGAACGCCAGGGAATTCCCTGGCCAGTGTTGGTGGAAGGAGTTAGTGTGGAGAGGCAGTGACCCACTGTGCTTGGAATGACTGCTCAGGGGACAATTTATGTTGATTTCTATAGTTTTGATAGATTATAATGGAGGGTAGGTTAATTTCCTTTCAAAGAGAAAGGTAGGAACTCTTTCAGGGTTAGTTCAAGCAAAGAGATCTGCTTTTGGATTTTCATTCCCTCTGAACTCACAATATCTGGTTCTAAGTTAACACTTATTCTTCCCCTTTTCATTGATAGTGTGATAATATCTTTCTAGTTGCCTTCCTTTGATGGCCAGTATTTTATGAAAGTATGGAGGAGACCAGTAAGCTAAAACCATCTAAGAGTAAGAGGGCCTTACACCATCCTGAGACTTCAGGACAATTGCAGTTCCAGATTTAGAGCTTATGTGTATTAACCAAACTCCAGTTTTCTGTGGTGTTACTTTTTAGAAATAAAACCAAATGGAACACCCTAAGCCACATAAACCTTTGCAGCTTCCAAACTTAAAAATTCAATTTTAACTTAAAAATGCAGTTATTCAAAGCAATTTGTATCTTCTGGCAAGGCAGCAGTTATAATTTTTCTACCCTTTTAGTTTTTCTGCTCTTGTTGGTATGGAGTTAGTCTGAAGCTAAGATTTTTTTTTTTTTTTTTTTGAGATTCTTGAATTGGTAATTTGTCCTTTTCTTCAATTAGAAAAATGCTTGCTCCTGCAGGTCACTTTCAAGTATTAAAAAATCTGCTTGTATTCTAACATAGTATAGTCTAGTAATTATTATAATAGATATATAACAGACATGGTTATTATTTCCTTACATGTATTTCTAGGGTGCTAACATCATTTAGTTTTCTTCATCATTTCTTCTTGAGGGTGGAATTCCCACTTGATATTTATTAATCCTATTTTTAATATATAAAATAAAGGCAAACTTTAACCAAATGTCTGGAAATTATCATGAACTATATTAGAGCTCAGTCTTTAGAGCTTTTATGAAATTAGTTAGAAAAAATATGCATCTTTTTTTGCAGACATTAATCCAGTATGTAGTGAAAAGCCTAATTAGTCTGCTTAGGCTATCATAAAAAAATACCATGGCCTAGATAGCTTAAACCAGGGGTCCCCAACCCCCAGTCCACAGACCAGTAGCGGTCCTCAACCTGTTAGAAATCAGGCCACACAGCAGGAGGTGAGTGGCAGGCGAGTGAGTAGTGAAGCTTCATCTCCCACTCCCCATTCCTCATTGCTCACATTACGGCCTGAACCACCATATCTGCCCCCCTCCCCGTCCCTGGAAAAATTGTCTTCCATGAAAGTGGTCCCTGGTGCCAAAATCGTTGGGGACCACTGGCTTAAACAACAGAAATTTATCTTCTCACAGTTCTGGAGGCTGGGAAGCTCAAGATCAAGAACTGGCAGTGTTTGGTTTTTGGTGAGCGCTCTCTTTCAGGCTTGCAGATGGCTGCCTTCTAGTGTGTCCTCATACAGTCTTTCATCTGAGGGCAAGAAGAGAGGATATCGAGTTCTATTCTGTCTCATCCTATTGGGTCAGGGCCTCACCCTTTTGACCTCATTTAACCATAATTACTTCCTTAGAGGCCCCCTTACCAAACACAGTCACATTAAGGGTTAGGGCTTCAACATGAATTTTGGGGGACACATACATTCAGACCATAATAGGAACCTAGACTCAGCTAAGACTGTGGATTCTTTTATACCCAGCGCTGCCCCTTAATAGCCAGGTGATTTTAGGCAAGTCACTTCACTCCTGAAAGTTTCTTCACTTGAAATATACTGGATTAGTATAGTACCCTGTGTACCTCATGGGGTTGTAGTAACTACTGAATGAAATAATATATTTAATAATTTACAATAATATATTTAATTATTTGCAATAATAAAAGCTTCTGCATATGTGAGAGATGATGCCAATCATTAATTCTCCAGTTATAAGGCCACCCTGACTAAATACTAAATACTAAAGTGTTTGTTAAAATCAGAGAAATTAACACACGTCATGATTCTCCAGAACACTAGGACTTTTCTTATATGGAAGTATTGTTTAAGATATCCTCAGTTATTCTGTAGTATATGTGCTTGTCAGTTGGACTTAATGGACTAATATAAAATATATAGACTCATTTTGATTTCTGATCAAAGAAAAATTTTATTTAGGTGAAAGGATAACTATTACTGTATTGAATTACCAGCTCTAGAAGGCAAAGATTGCTTACTTGCTAGAGCACAGAAAGACTTTTTATTCCCATGAATGTAATCTCCATTGTACTTCAAGAATATGGTAAATTTTAATTATAACTTAAAAATTGAATTAAAGTGGGCCTTTGCTAAACCTCTATTTCCTTATCTGTAAAAGGGTACCTACTCAACAGGCATTTTGTGAGTACAAAGGAGAGAGATGTGAAAGCATCTTAAGCCCCTTGGTGGAAAGGTACTCTGTAAAAGTCCAAGATTTTTTTGAATACCCTATAACAGAGAGTCTTTATCAACACATTTATAAAGTGCTGACATAAAATTTTCAGTCTTAGTTTGAAATGCTAGTCTAGTTATATGAAAATTACTTGGTTAGATGAAACTTTAGATCTAATTTCCATTTTGTTTTTAACAATTCGTGGGTATTCGTTGAACCTTCTAAATGCTTCTTTCTTGAGATGTTAATCAGATGTTAATTTCCTTAAAGAATCTCCAGAATTTCAAATAATAACCAACCAAATATAGAAAGGTTGAAAAAAAGTTGTTAGAATTTTTTATAAGGTCTTTGTCACAAATAATGGTTGAATGTAAAAATAGATACAAGGCATTACAGTCTGAGATTAAGGAAAAATTTTTGCCTGTCTTTAGGTATATTTTAAATGTGATAATGTTACATGATGTTAATATTAAGTAATCTTCAGTTTATCTTCTAGTGAACCCAGTTTCCATTCTTATTTAGATAGAGAGGATTTCACCAGCATTTCCCTCTGTGTGAACATGTGCACCAGTCAGTATGCAGAAGAGGCATAATGATGTGGAAACTACTTTCTACTTGATTTTGCTAATTCTTACATATATATTTCCTGTTATGAGTGGCTCCCTTGTGGAGAAAACTGGTATTATCACTTATAGATTACTGTAGGTTTTTTTAGTGTATGTGGGGGAGAGAAGTAAAACAAGATCATTTGTCTAGACAGCATGGCTGATTGTGTCATTTTTTCTGCAAGCAAAACTATTGCTCTCCTGGATTTGGAATGGCCCCTGAAATTTCATTTCTTAGTTACTGTGATTATTTAACCATGCTGTAGGATTCACACATGTGTTTTGCTTAAGTGAGTTAACTTTTTATACAAAATATTTTCCTGGGTCAAATAGTACCAACTATTCATCTCGGTTCAAATTGGGGAACTTATTTGGGAAGCTTTATAGGTAATTATATTGACTGTTAGTTGGAAGAATGTTTAGACATGGATTAGAAAGGATGAGACCTTTATTTTATGATTTTGAAGTTATCTTTATTTATATTACACTTGTTCAGTTACACTCCTCTTCTTCCCAGAGAAGGAATTCAAGTGGATAAACTTTGTTAAAAGTTAATGGAAATATTCTGGTGACGTATAAAATTTAATAAGAATAAATCATGTGTAAATTCAGATTTATGAATCAATTGTTTTAGGCAATTTTCTTTTGGAACTTATCACAGTACAGTTTGTTTTATGAAATTATGTAGTTTTCTAAGGAAAAGTTGTTTGTCATTACATTTTTGAGCCATTCTTGTTGGGAAGACTTGTAATAGATTTCTGATGATTCTGACCTTCTGATGCGAAAACGTTCCTCATTTAGATTTATTTTAAAATTTATGTGATTACTTTTGAAATAAATACTAATTGTCATTTTTTTCTCTCACAGCTTCATATCCTCCAATTCAGCCTCATCCTCTAATAAAACATCAGCAGATTCCTCTTCATTCACCACCTCCCAAAGTTTCCCACCATCAGCTGATGCTACAGCAGCAGCAACAGCAAATTCAGCCAATCACACTTCAAAGTCCAACTCAAGACCCACCACCATCCCAGCACTGTTTACCACTCCAAAACCATGGCCTGCCTCCAGCTCCCAGTAGTGCCCAGTCACAGCATTGTTCCCCAATTCAGAGTCATCCCCCTCCTTTACCAGTGTCTCCTAGCCAGTCACAGTCAGCACAGCAGTCTGTAGTGGTGTCTCCTCCACCACCTCATTCACCAAGTCAGTCTCCTACTATAATTATTCATCCACAAGCACTTATTCAGCCACACCCACTTGTGTCATCAGCTCTCCAGCCAGGGTCAAACTTGCAGCAGTCCACTGCTAATCAGGTGCAACCTACAGCACAGCTGAATCTTCCATCCCATCTTCCACTTCCAGCTTCCCCTGTTGTACACATTGGCCCAGTTCAGCAGTCCACCTTGGTGTCCCCAGGTCAGCAGATTGTGTCTCCAGCATCACACCAGCAATATTCAACCCTGCAGTCCTCTCCAATCCCAATTGCAACCCCTCCGCAGATGTCGACATCTCCTCCAGCTCAGATTCCACCACTGCCCTTGCAGTCTATGCAATCTTTACAAGTGCAGCCTGAAATTCTGTCCCAGGGCCAGGTTTTGGTGCAGAATGCTTTGGTGTCAGAAGAGGAGCTTCCAGCTGCAGAAGCTTTGGTCCAGTTGCCATTTCAGACTCTTCCTCCTCCACAGACTGTTGCGGTAAACCTACAAGTACAACCACCAGCATCCGTTGATCCACCAGTGGTAAGCCCTTGGAAGCTCTTTGACTTTCTTGCCGACCTGAAAGTAAAAAGTTTTCTCCCACGCTATGTTATATCATTAGATCTAAATGCCAATGAATTTAAAAAGCTTGAAATTTCCATCTGTCAGTATCTGACATACATGCTGTATGGGCAAAAAAAAAAAAAATGCCTTTTGTTGTAGTATGGTTGCATGCTTGATAATTTGTAATGGTTATTAAAGTCCCTCGTTAATTTTATTACTATTTAAACAAATCCATCTGCTATCTTTACAGAGTTGATTTTTTTTCCCCAAGGGAATGCATTTGAACCAGTGTCATCTGCACAAAGTTTTTTCTCTTAAGGTGATTATCCTTCATAGATCCCTTCTGTTGGCTTGTATGTTCTTAAACGTATGGTTTATCTAGCTAACCTTTTTGGTTGTATGCATTCTGAAGTACTAGACCTTTATGGGGCTTTTGCTTCAAGGTGGAGGTATGCTTGTATGATGTAATTTTTTGGTAAACTTGTATTTTGTAATTAAAACTTTGTAAAAACCAGTTATTCTAGGAAAGAATCCAACTTTGCAAAAAAAAACATTAACTGTAGGCCATCTTTTAGAATTATTAAACTTCTGATTTTTAAATTTCTGCTAAGGAAGAATATATACTTAAAATATTTCTCATTTAAAAAGCTAAGAAAATCTCAGTGGATGAGTTGAATACTGAGGATGAAAAAATCCACTGGGAGGAGTAAAAGTTTTGAGTAACTGAGATTGTGGTGAAATTTATCAAAATAAACCTCTAGAAATGGTACATACTGCCTACAGAGGAAAATTATCCTGAAAAATGTTTTTCTTTTAAACATTCTATAAAGTACTTTTAAAATTTATAAAATAATTTATAATAAAAATTGAAATAAGGTCTCTAAATGTTAGAATGATCAAATTCATAATTAATTTATAACTGAGGAAAACAATATTCTCAAAAGAGGTTTTATTTTTTTACTTTTACTTTTTTTGAATTTTATTTTATTTATTTTTATACAGCGGGTTCTTATTAGTTATCTGTTTTATACATATTAGTGTATACATGTCAATCTCAATCTCCCAGTTCATCCCACCACCACCACCACCCCCCAAAGGAGGTTTTATATCAAACCTCACTAAAGAGATTTTATCACTTAAAGGCTAGTAACCATAAACTCAGAAAGGAAAGGAGTTTCAAAGTCTGTTCCTTAATGGGAAACATTTTGGTTCTCAGGATGCAAATTTATAGATTCTTTATTCTTGTCATTTGACTGATCTTTTTTTTTTTATTTTTTTTATTTTTATTTATTTTTTAATTTTTTTATTTTTTTGCGGTACGCGGGCCTCTCACTGTTGTGGCCTCTCCCCTTGCGGAGCACAGGCTCCGGACGCGCAGGCCCAGCGGCCACGGCTCATGGGCCCAGCCGCTCCGCGGCACGTGGGATCCTCCCGGACCGGGGCACGAACCCGCGCCCCCTGCATCGGCAGGCGGACTCTCAACCACTGCGCCATCAGGGAAGCCCTTGACTGATCTTAATAGGCATGAAGAGATTGAATTCCACTTCCTACTCACTTTTATTAAGAACAGAATTTGACAAAGACAACAATGGGCATCTAGAAATAAGTTTGTATTTCAATTATTATGTCTCTATATTTTCTTTTAATGGATTTTTGAAGAGTTTACAATGGATATTGTAATATAAAAACACACAGTACCTTCAAAGAAATCAAATTTAAGTTGAATTTATATTCTCACTTTCTAGTTCAATGAATTGGTTTTTAACAAGTAAAAAAATAAAATTTCTCTATATGCCATATATTTTTCTAATTATTTTTGTTAGGGCAGACCTTGGAGGAACATGTTTGGGATAGAAATATCAAAAACATAACAACACTTGAATTAAAGTTAAAAATATCTAGGATCTTATTATTTTCTGCCCTCTATTAATTTTGGTTTTTAAAAAATTCATGTTACCTCATTTTTGGAGTTGTTTTTTTTCATGAGAAGAATAACTTTCTCTGCTATCACTGGTATGGTCATATTTGCTACAGATGTTTCCATGTTATCGTTCTTATCTTTTACCTTTCTTTGAGTACCATAGCCTATTTATTAAATTGCTGTATTTTTCTGTTATTACCTTTATCAAATCAATTTTTTTAACCATCACATTTCTTCATGAATTACACATTTGTTCACAATTTCCTGGTTGTTTCAAATATTCAAAGGTAGAGAGATACTTACTTCTAAGAGATGTGAAATTTTCAAAGATAAGTGAATTTTCAAAGTAACATCAATATGTTTTTTTAAAAGATTTTTCATTAACATTTAGGTATGATAAGTAAGATATGGTAAGTGTAGATAATTTAGAACTAATAAATGTTTTCCACAGTTTATTTAGGGAAAGGAGACAGATGGGACTAATGTACTTTATTGAGGTAAGTTTGGCAGCCAGTGTTAGTTTTAGAATAGTCATAGTTATGAACTAAAGAGAAATTGTGATGTACAGTTTCCAAACGATCTTGTGAGCAAAACCTTCACTTCTTTGCTTTATTCAGTCTTTTAGTTGTCACACTTAGATTTTTTTTATGCTGATGGTGCCAGATGTCTGTGACAGATTTGCTTTTGCCTACTTACTTAACTTTACTTTTATTCCTTTACTTACTTTGCCTTTACGTGGGAGATGTAGAAGAAAGTATGTACAGTTAGGCTTACCTGTAAAGAACGAAAAATATTTTACAGTATTCTTTGTTGGATTATTTCAGAATATGTTATTTGTGTTTGCCTCTTTTAATCCTTTAAAACTCTTTCATTATATTTTAAAAATCAGAATACTATGCATGATCATGCATGATCTTTGATTCCTTAAAAGGTACTGTAGTAAGTGTTTGAAAAACTTGTGACAGCATTAATATTAAAGAGACAGTTTCAGCATTTTATGAAAAGATGATCTTTGGAAGAAAAGTAATATCTAATAAAGGAATGCTACATAGGTACAGTTGAGCTGGTTGATACAACCATTACTTGCCTAATGACCTCTGAATCAACATCCCCACCACTCTGCCAAATTAAGGTAATCACTACTACAGCAGGTGCCCCTCACTAGAAGTTTTTTGTTTTTTGTTTTTCCTTTAACCCCCAGGACATTTTTTTGGATGACTTTCCCTGTATTGGACATTATCATCATTTAAAAAAAATTATCATGAACAGATACTAGCAGCTATCATTGTTGCGCTGTACAGTAATGAACGACTGCTTTCACTCCTGAGGATCCAGACATGAGGCAAGGACTCTCTCTTAGTGAAACAGGTTTCCAGATTCAGGGTTGTGAGCAAATAACTTTTAAAAATGTTGCCTACTTAGTAGCTGATTCGAATCACAGCTCTGGATATTATATTCGATATAAAATTATCAGTAACAAAGGGATTTTTTAATTAAAAAAAAAAAGAAAGCTATTTTTTTCTTAATAGATTGTCTTGAAAAATTAGGGGTCTTTTTTGTTTGTTTTGGTTTTTAAATTCTATTGCTGTTGTTAGATATGCCTTTGTAGGTAAAACTTCAAGTCCTTTTTATCACACATTGTTTATGCTGGTTTCAGAAATATTGATTGTTTTTATATTTAATTGCAAATCAAACTTTTTCAATAGCTTGATTAAAAATACATACAATATTAGATCATCTAAAAGTTTTTCTTGTGAATGTTGAAGAAACATTTTTTGTTTTGATATTTATTAGAAATATTAATCAGTTTGGGTAGGTTATCTTAAAAACTCACAACTTTTATAAATGTAAGTAATAAACTTTGTACATATAAGAAGGGGGTAAATTGCTTTGTGGCTTTGTTTTTAGTGACCTGTCATCTTTCAAAAATAATGGTTAAATAAAAAACGATGACAAATTAAAATAAATACCTGTGTCAGTCTCTACAAGTGGACTCTGAAAATTCAGCCTTAAGTTTAATAAAAAATCAGTAATAGGTTAGATGTTTTTAAAGTTCCTTCTCAGAGTACTTTTGAGTCCATGTTTTCTTCTTAAGTATTATCTTTACCATTGGATAACAAGGTAGTTAAATTAAAGATGTAACTTTCTTCTATAAGTATGGAACAATATTAAAGAACTAAAAATACGTCAAATGGTTTAGGATGGGGGTGTGTGTGTTATTTCAAGGACAGATGTTTTCTGTTTAACTGACACTAACTTATAAAAATTCATTAGATTCTTGAGTAGATCAGAAGATTAAACATGTAATCACATACCTTTTTTGTGGGTACTCAGACATTACTTTTCAAAATTTAATCTTTAATTCACATAAATATAATAAAGAAGAACCTGGGATGTTGTCCTTTAAACAGTGCATTTTCTTATATAATATGTGTCATTTTGGAGATTTACTTAACATGCTTGTAAAAAATATTAGTATCTATTTTGATTTATGACAGTGGAAGTTAACAGAAACTATAGTAAATTCCCCAAATAGTTGTTTGAGTGTATAAAATCAAAACATTTAAAAAAATTAACAAAATTAAAAATATGTCCTGACTTGACTATCACCTTTGGGAAACCTTAGTGATTTATAGCCTAGGTACTGATCCGTACTTGCTTTCAGTGAAATATCAGGTATCATGAATTGTCAAGGATTATGAAAAACTTCATTTGAATGATTTTAAAGTTTTCCTTTCAATCTGTCAGATAGTCATTTTGCCTTTTAATTTTTAAAACACTCGGAATTAATTTTGTTAATTAAATTAAGAACACCTTATCAAATGTATTTTAGAAACATTTTTAGGCAGCGTGGTTTGTCGTTGCAGGTTTATCAAGTAGAAGATGTATGTGAAGAAGAAATGCCAGAGGAGTCAGAAGAATGTGTCCGAATGGATAGAACTCCACCACCACCCACATTGTCTCCAGCAGCTATAACTGTGGGGAGAGGAGAAGATTTGACTTCTGAGCATCCTTTGTTAGGTGAGAAAATGCCTGGATTTGGGGAAATTTTCTATTAGAGAAATGTTAGTAACGGAAAAAGGTTTTTTTCATGGTATTAAACTAATTTGCTGTGTAATTAATTGCTGCAAAACATAGAATTCAAGACTTTTTTAAACTTAATTAATTAATTTATGGCTGCATTGGGTCTTCATTGCAGTGCACGGGCTTCCTCTAGTTGCAATGAGTGGGGGCTACTCTTCTTTGTGGTGCGCGGGCTTCTCATTGCGGTGGCTTCTCTTGTTGCAGAGCATGGGCTCTAGGCATGCAAGCTTCAGTAGTTGTGGCACGCAGGCTCAGTAGTTGTGGCTCGCGGGCTCTACAGCACAGGCTCAGTAGTTGTGGCGCACAGGCTTAGTTGCTCCGCAGCATGTGGGATCTTCCTAGACCAGGGCTCGAACCCGTGTCCCCTGCATTGGCAGGCGGATTCTTAACCAGTGTGCCACCAGGGAAGTCCCAAGATTTTTTTTTTTGATGAGGAATAATTAGAACAGTTGTTGAGAAACTATCCAAATCAAAAACGTATTTCAGCCTTTGAATTTTTAGTAGTTTGTACAGATGTGTTTCATATGACCATTCAGATTTATGTGTCAAGCTATTTCTAGCTTAAAAACTAGAATAAATCAAAGTTCTATCAGAAGATTTCAATTATACTTTCCAAAAATCACAAGGCATGGGCTTCCCTGGTGGCGCAGTGGTTGAGAGTCTGCCTGCCGATGCAGGGGACACGGGTTCGTGTCCCGGTCCGGGGGGATCCCACATGCTGCGGAGCGGCTGGGCCCGTGAGCCGTGGCCGCTGAGCCTGCGCGTCCGGAGCCTGTGCTCCACAACGGGAGAGGCCACAACAGTGAGAGGCCCGCGTACCGCAAAAAAAAAAAAAATCACAAAGCATTTGAAGTCATATCTGACATTCGTCATAATTGCTTGTGATCCAGACTGAGTAAATGCTTTTAAAAGTGTTCTTTCCCAGACAGTACTTAAATTAAGCCTCACTAATTCTTACTAGGGACATGGATTAAAAAATTCTTGAGTTTAAGCATTCAAATTCTTAGGCACTAACTTCAGAACTACTTACGAGTTCAAGTAAATATTCTCTATGCTCCTCCTCATAATATCAAAGTGACTGTTAATCCTAGCTATTTTACTAAAACATTATAATCTATAGCCCAGTATCTAAGTCCTAAAAAAGATATATTCTGTGTTAGGGTTTTGGTTGTTTTTTTAGTATTTTATTTAGATCAGATAGCTCTGATCTAAATAAATGATAGCTCACGCTTCAGATCCTTCCTGCTGCATGTTTTTGTATGGCCCATGAGCTAAGTATGGTTTTAAAATTTTTAAATGTTTGAAAAAAAAAAGAAGAGTAATGTTTCATGTCATGTGAAGATTATGTGAAATTCACATTTCGTTGTCCATGAATAGAGTTCTATGCAACACAGCCACGTTCATTTGTTCAGATATTATCTATGGCTACTTTTGCATTACTGCAGCAAAGATGAGTCATTGCAGAGACCATATGTCCTTTATAGAAAGTTTTCTGACCACTTATCCAGATAATACTAATCTTGGTTCAGGCTTTGTCTTAACTATTTTGTTCTATTGAATATCTCATGGCCTTCATGATCACTTTCAGTTAAGAAGAACCACTGTAACAGGCATGGAAACAGACTGTAACGGGGCACTGACTTTGCTACCAAAGCAGCCCTTGTCCTCTCTTTTCTTCAGCATGCCACATTTCTATCCCTTCTCTTCTTTCTAGCTTTTATCCCTTACTACCAATATGAATCTCTGGAAAGCATGGAGGGGAAAAACCAATTTTCCTCCAACTTTTTCCCCTTCCTGGAAAATAGAAAACATTTAGTCAATAAAATTATATAAAATATTTAAGACAAGTTCAATATTATTGCCTTTGCTTATTCAAAATAATACCTCAAAAGATAGATTTAAGAAAATCTAACTATAGTATTAAATCTTTGTAGTTTGTGTACACTGAAAATGGATTTATGTTGCTGCAGATTTCTTGGAGTTTTGATTTAAAGGCAGAAATATGTGTTTAATTGGATACTAACCTTGCATTGTTACTGTGATTTAATTACCTAATAAACATTACTAATGATACTCAAGAAAATTTAAACATTTTTGAAATATTGAAACTCAAGAATATCTTCACATTATTTCCTCAGGAATGTAGTCTGAGATCCTGGCAGGCATATCCATCCCTCTGGCTAAATTGTCTAAGTACAGTGTAGATTTTTGAATCTTCCTTTAATTTACTTCATACTTAACTAGTTTCTGTAGTATATGAGGGGGGAAAAGCAAGCACAGGTTGCTCATCAAATCATGTAATGAGCTAACCTGTAAAAATAGAGGGACTTGTTTCCACCCAGGATTCAGTCTTCATAAATCTATAAGAATTCTTAAAAAAGCATCCATACAAAAGAGTAGAAAAAGCTCATAGATCTTGCTCAGAAAATGAGACTGTGAATAGGCAGAGTAACCTGTGGCAAAGTCTTATCAGTTAACTTGGGGTTTCTCTCTCACAGTTGTCTTAAATCTAGAGAGTGTAGTAATTGTGTTATTTTTGTTTTTTTAAAAACTAATTAATTAAATTTTGGCTGCGTTTGGTCTTCGTTGCTGCTCGCAGGCTTTCTCTAGTTGTGGCAAGCAGGGGCTGCTCTTTGTTGAGGTGCGTGGGCTTCTCATTGTGGTGACTTCTCTTGGTGCGGAGCACGGGCTCTAGGCACATGGGCTTCAGTAGTTGTGGCACGTGGGCTCAGTAGTTGTGGCTCACGGGCTCGAGTGCAGGCTCAGTAGTTGTGGCGCACGGGCTTAGTTGCTCGGCGGCATGTGGGATCGAACCCATGTCCCCTGCATTGGCAGGCGAATTCTTAACCACTGCGCCACCAGGGAAGTCCCCAATAATTGTGTTTTTGTTCTGCTATAATATGTCAATGTTTCTTGTGTTTTTGATTTTAACAGCTGATTATAAACTGGCAAGTCATAGCTATTAATAACTTTTTTAAGAAGTCAGTAACTTACAACTTTGTTTTCAACAAAATTTAGATCTATTTGTATGTATGATCCAAAAATTAGTTAGAACATATACTAAGCAGTATTTTCTGAATAAGCCACAATATACTTAATGCAGCTTTATATTTCTAAAGTAACCAAATATTTATAAATCTATAAGGGATATTAAAATTTATCTTATTTTTCACTTCTCCATAGATTTATATTTTCCTTCCAACAGAAAAATTGCTTTTTAGTCCCAGTTCAGGATTATATCTTTTATCCTTTTCCTCTAGGAGTATATGTGAAAATTGGGTATGTGGGGTAGGATTTTTATGGAGTTCTTCAGTCTGGTAATGCATGTGTACAATTGTGTATTTGTTCCTGGAAATCAGCAAACCAGTATTTCCTGCT